ATCTCCATTTCTTCTGATTGATTTTAGTTTGAAGTCGATTTTGTTAGTTATTAGAATGGCCACACCCGCTTGTTTCTTAGGTCCATTTGGTTGGAAAATCTTTTCCCAACCCTTTACTCTGAGTAGGTGTCTGTCTTTGTGGTTGAGGTGTGTTCTTGTAAACAGCAGAATGTTGGATCCTGTTTTAGTATCCAATCTCTAAGTCTGTGCCTCTTTATAGGTGAATTGAGTCCATTGATATTAAGTGATATTAATGACCAGTGGTTGTTGACTACGGTCATTTTTTTTTTTTTTTAGGTAGTAGAGTGTATGTGTTTTCCTTCTTTGATTTGTGCTTGTGAATGGTCGCTAGATGTTTGAGTTATTGTAGGGAGTGTTGGGAATATTGGATTCCTTCAGTAGTAATTTTCCTTCTAATGTTCTCTGTAAGGCTGGTTTAGTAGCTACGTATTGTTTAAATTTGTTTTTATCCTGGAATATTTTGTTTTCTCCGTTGATAGTGAACGATAGCTTGGCTGGGTATAGTAGTCTGGGTTTGCATCCATGGTCTCTTAGTTTCTGCAGTACCTCTATCCAGGATCTTCTGGCTTTCATGGTTTCCATAGAGAAGTCCGGTGTAAGCCCGATAGGTTTACCTTTATAAGTTACTTGACCTTTTTCCTTTGCAGCTCTTAAAATTTTTTCTTTAATCTGTATGTTTTGTGTTTTGATTATTATATGGCGAGGGGATTTTTTTTTTCTGATCCAGTCTATTCGGTGTTCTGTATGCTTCTTGAACCTTCATAGGAATATCGTTCTTTAGGTTTGGAAAGTTTTCTTCTATAATTTTGTTGAATATATTTTCTGGGCCTTTGATCTGCAATTCTTCTCCTTCTTCAATCCCTATTATTCTTAGATTTGGTTTTTTTATTGTGTCCCAGATTTCCTGAATGTTTTGTGATGAGAATTTGTTGGATTTGCCGTTTTCTTTGACCAGAGCATTTATTTTCTATGGTATCTTCAGATTCTGAGATTCGTTCTTCTATCTCTTGTATTCTATCGGTTATGCTTGATTCTGTAGTCTCCGTTCGTTTACCTAGGTTTTCCATATCCAACCGGTTCTCCGTTTGTGTTTTCTTCATTGCCTCCATTTCAGTTTTCAATTCTTGCACTGTTTCCTTTACTTGTTTGATTGTTCTTTCTTGGTTTCTCAGGGTCTCATTCACGGATTTACTTATTTCTTCAAACTTTTTGCTATATTTCTCATCTATTTCTATACTCATTTCTTCAAACTTTTTGTTATATTTCTCCCTCCAATTCTTTAAGGGAGTTATTCATATCCTGTTTAAGGGACTCTATTGCTTTCATAATGGCACTTTTTTCCACTTCTTCTGGGTTAAGGTGTTCAAGTCCTTCTGTTGTAGAGTCCTTGGGATCTGGTGTTTTCATGTTGTTTTTCAGATTGTTGGATGAGGTCTTGCCTTGGCGTCTGCCCATCTCTTACTTCAAATGTTCTCTATTGGAACTTCTGTTACCGGGTCAGGTTCCCTTCTTGGGCAGGGACTTCACTGACAGAATGCCCACCTTTCCTCGGGCAGGCTATTGAAGCACAGGCACTCCCTCTTTCTGGGATGCGCTTACAATGCAGGCTCAGCTTGCAAGGCAGCTGAGCTGGGGAAATTTTATGGCCCGAGGGGG